ATCAACATCATTAATACAACTGAGTAGATGCTCCCTATTCAAATAAAGTTGGGGAATGTTTAAAAACAGAATGAAGCCCCTTTCTGAGGTGAAACTATTCGAGTGTTTGTGGTATAGTACAGACAATAGCATAATTCTGAAAGGTGAACTCAGTGAAACTGAATGCTGAAACTGGACAATGAAACCCCAAAAAGGAAGATGGATCATGCAAATTACAGATGTTGGAGGATAATAAGAGATTTGGGAAAGGGGACACTTTGTATAACAATGGTCCAGATGAATGAACTCACAGAAGTAGCTTTCAACCTACAGTATTTTCCACATCTTTGTTAGTTATCACATCTTTTATCCCTTGACAAAGAGGTCTAAAAACACTAGGACTTTCAAATAATAAAAAAATTGGAATTAATCTCACTCAAACATCAGATTTTTGGATGTTCGACATTTGCAAATATTGATATCAATTACAACACAGAATATGAATTGCACAGTGCCCTTTATAGTTATTAGATATTTGCACTGTAAAAAACAGTTTCAGTTCACATCATACAAATACTGTAATGCAATCTCTTCATTCTGAAAGTTCAGCTTACAAATGTAGAATCTTTTTACATAAGTGCACTCAAGAAAACAAAACAATGTAAAACATTAAAGTCTACACATCCACTCAATTCTACTTCTTGTTTAGCCAATTACTAAGACAAACATTTATTTACATTTAAGGGAGATAACTATGCCTACTTCTCACTTTCAGGTGACAAATAAGAACAGGCTTTTGCAAGGCACTGTTGTAGCTGGCATTGTCAGATATGCTAAACATTTGAATGACGGTTCTTGTTTTGACAGGTGTTTCTTGATAACAATCCAAAGCAGCACGGACCAACACACCTTCATTTTCACATTTTCATCATCTAAGTCAAAGAGCACCAACAAAAGGTTGATTTTCTTTTTCAGTGGTTCGGGTTCTGTAATTTCTGCATTGGAGTGTTGTTCTTTTAAGATTTCTTACAGCATTTTCCATACCTCTTCCCACTCAGATTTTTGAAGGCACTTCAAATTCTTAAACCTTGGGTGGAGTGCTGTATCTATCTTTAGAAATCTCATATTGGTACTTTCTTTCATTTTGTCAGATCTGTAGTCAAAGTGTTCTTCAAATGAACAACATATGCTGGGTCATCACTGCAGACTGCCCAACACTAAATATATGAGAGAGTGCTGGTAAAACCACAGAGCAGGAGACAAAATTTCCCCCCACAGCGTTTAGTCATAAATCTGCGAAGCTCAAATAGTGTTTCTAGCTTTTGCAGTTTTCAAAATCACTACCTGTCAACACTAATAGATTGTGTGCTTTGGAAGAGCTAATGTGGTTGTGATAGTGGCTTTATTTCAAAGCATGAACTCAAACCTATCCAATGTGGAGTTCTATCTGGTTGAAGTATCTTGTACAACATGTTGTTTCTGTCCATTTACAGATTATTGTATTTCTAACTCTGGGTTAGTGTTTGAAATGGTCCACAAGTTCCCTAATTTTTTTCAATTTTCAAAAACTGCCATCATTGAGCACTTAATGAATCACTGCAGACTAAGCTATGCATGTCATGAATTGAAAAGACAATAACGGACTGCAGCTATCCTCTTACATGCACTGTCAGTACTAATATTACCTTTTCTTGAATATTCCATTCTTTTGCAATATCCAAGAAATGCTCGGCACATTTCAGCATGTTACCATTAAAACGAATGATTGCAGTGTCTTCATGTAACCCACACCCACCTAGTAGCAGAGACTATATGCAGCAAGAATAAGGAGTCAGCTCTATAGCCTTAGCTGCTAGCCAGCAGGCTTTTACCTCATATGGTAGAAGCTGCAGAGGTCTCAGGTTTGATTCTGCCTGATGACAACCAGGGTCTGCTAGCATTACACATACAGCATCCATTTGGTATGCTATGATGCCAAAACTGCTCAAGAATGTCCAGTGATCACCAATCAAAGCAACTCTTATAATATTTTTCAGAAGCTCCAACTCTAATTTTTGTATGATGTAGGTCATGGATTCATGATCCTGAGAGGGCAAGATATGACTGACTGGAAGATGCAACTGAAATATCATCTCTTAGCCCTCTGTCATTTATAGTGCAGAGTGAGTGGTCAGCAGTCCTTACCTATCTACTTTGCAATAGTGTTGGTTAAGATATTGTATTTGGTTTGATCTATGGGCGATTCTTTGAAACTCTGTAAGCCTACTGTCATGGCTGGCAGGATTCATTTGCTGTTGATGGGCTATCTAACACAAGAATTGGAGGTGAAAGCATATTATGCAGGACCATATACATGCTAACTTGAAGTACTTTGATGGTATTGGATTGCAGCCTTGCAAAAGAGAGAACTGTCTTTTTACCCAGAAAACCATCTGAAAGATTTTTTAAAATAAATTTCCTATTCAAAAGACCTGAACTCTTGCTACTTTCCTCCATTCACTTTTTCTGATATTTAATCACTCCAGATCATGAGAACACAGAACTGTGCCAGTGTCCCCCAAGCAGTATAGTACAGTAAGTATCAAGAGGGTGAAAAAAGAGCAGGTTGATTAATTTTCATTAAAAAAGAATGTTAATTTTTGTGTTAATTGCTTGCATTAACTGCAATTAATTGACAATCCCTACCTAAAACCAGGGTCATTTTTTTGTAGTTCATCCAATCTACTGTAATTTTAAAAAGGAGATTGAGTTTATTTTTTTTCCCTCCATTAATTATACAGGAATTTTCCTGTAACATCCATTTAATTGTTTTATGGATCTTATTTTTTTTTTACCACACCTGTCCTCAACTTGGCACAAATGAACTGATTACATTGAATCTGAGAGTACTGGGATGTCCATAGTAGAAGATGAAGAAATATATGACTTAACATTGGGCTAAATGCTTGAGCTGTGCACTAATACCCGGTCACAAATTCAACATTTTAACAGTGTTTTATTATGAAACTTTATAACAGTATTAAGTCAGAAAACTTCTAACGTGTTTCAATGGTAGTAACAAACTCTCTCTTCTTACCCTGACAAGCCAAATCATTTCCTCTCATTTGGAATCTGATTCTTGCATTTCTTTAATGTGCATTTTCTTTTCTAGATTCTCCTTTGCTCTTCTTTTCTTTTCTTGCTTTTTCTTCTCAGCTGTTCTTTTCTCTTTAAAAATGTCACTATTTTCACCTTTGTAAAAGAGGTCAACTTTCTGCTGTAGGATTTCTCTGGCTCTCTGTCGGTTCAGCTCCACTGATCTAGTCTGATGACACTGAAAAGATATTTTATTGTAAATTAATTGGTTATTCTACACTTCCCTTCTTTAACTTTTACTAAACATGTAATACTATTATAAAGTCTCATCCTATAAAATCCTTATTAATACAAACTAATACTAAAATTTAAAACTGTTTGCATGAGTAAGAAGTTGAATACTTAGCCTATAATTTTATTTATCTACTGGCTAGGAAAAAAAGTAGTTCCGATATTTAAATTCATATTGGTAAAGGAAAGTGCACAGGGAAATAAGCCACATTTGTGTCTTGACAGTTTCTAAAGGAAATGTGTTCTCTTTATGTAGTAACATTCAGAAATGATTACAACAATTACAATGTTTATTAATTTAATTAGTGGCTCAATTAAAAGCCACATTAAATTAGTTACTCTTTTTCTGCTACAGCAGTAAAGAGCATACCATTTCTGGCAGCCAGTAGATAATGATATGTTGGTGTTTTGAAATAGCATTTATTGTTTAAGAGTTCTTGTAGTTTTGCCTATTGACTTTTGTCTTAATTCTCTCTCACTGGTAGACCTGAAGGTTGCTCTTGCATTCATATGATTTACTTCTGAACAAAAATGTCTTGCAAGCAGCATTCCCTCTAAGCTGGGGGGCAGCACAGCTTCACAGGTGATTAATCAGCCCCGCCCAGTCAGCCGGCCTAGGGGCTTAAATTAGTTTTACTCAGTAGTAATTCAAGGAGGAGTAGGAATGCTCAGTATATATCACTTGATGGATCTGTAGTCTCATCTAGCACTTGTAAAAGGAAAAGAAGAGCCAGGATTCCTGACTTCTGTTATCAGCTCCAGGACCCTAGAAATGTCAATTAAGCTCTATCCCTCTATTTCACCATCTATACAAAATTGAGACATTTCCTTGCAGGAGGGGTACGCAATAATTTTTGATGGGAGGGGGGCACTCCAAGAATTCTGAGTTCTATGGGGAGGTGCAGGGTCTGGGCCAGATGTTGGGTGCAGAAGGGAGCTCAAGGTAAGGGACTGGGGTGCAGGAGAGGCTGTGGTCTCAGAGGGAGTCTGAGTGAAAAAGGGGGTTGTGATCTCAAGCAGGGGACTGAGCTGCAGTGTCCAAAAGGGGATATAGGTGCAGGAGAGGATTCTAGCCTGGGGGATATTGTAGGAGGGGGGAGTGCAGGGTCTGGGAGGGAGTTGTGACCTGGGAGTTGGGGATGCAGAGGGTGTGGGTGGTGACCTAGAAGAGGGAGTTGAGAAAAGGGCTTACCTAGGAAGTTCCTAGCCAGCAGCCCTGCAGGAACTTGAGGCAGACTCCCTGCTTGATGCAGCCCCAAGCTGCTCAAAATGGCTGGCTGGACCCTCTAGCCCTCTACAGGCTTTATGTGCTGCCCCACCCCCAGCAAAATTCGTTTAAAGGGGCATGGAGCTGCTCTAAAGAAGCTGGCCGCTCTCTTCCTGAAAGTCCAGCCAGGGCAGCCTGCAGGATGGATCCAGCAACTTGATCTTGCCTGGTCCGGTCTTGCAATAGAGAATGTTGAAAAGCTCACTGATGATAAAGTACAGAGCTAACAGCAGCCATGGAAAAGGAAAATTTCAGGACTCTTTTAATTAAATATAATATTTGAATATTTGCCTAGTTTTCCTATTAATGGTACCATGAAAGTGTGGCCTCACCAAAAAAAAACAAAAAAAAACCAAACAAAAACTCCCACCCAAAACCAAAAACTGACACAAAATCTCACACATGCTATCATTTAGCTCTTTAAATTGTAAACACTTATACACTGAAGTCAGAACCACAGCATCTAGTGACATAGTTCAATTAATTCACCAAATCTGCCACTGGCTAGGGATGTGAAAGACTAGCTGGACTGTCAGATAAGCAAATGCTTATCAAATAACTGACAACTAGTCGCTTCCTCCCCTCTCTCCTGCCCGCCCCCACCCACCGCTTCTGAGGAAGAGGAAGCAAGGGGAAGAAAAGAGGATGCTTCAAAGTGGCAGCACTGTGTGGAGCCCAAGGTCAGCTGGGCTTTGAAATGCTTGAGTCCCCCGCTGGCCCTGTGTTCTCCATAGCGCTTTCACCTTTGAAATGTAGCAATAGACTATTCGATTAGCCTATTAATCTAAATTTAATATCCTATCACTGGCCAATACTTAATCCTGCAGAGGAAGTTGAATCTTTTTATAATGCACATGGCAATCGTGCACTGCTGAACAGGCCTACTGACGGGGGAAGGAGAGGAAAGGGCAAGTGCTCCAGCAATTCAAAAGGGCCCAGAAATCCCAGCTGCTGCTAACATGGCGAAAGCCTCAAGCCCTTTAAATTGCCACTAGAGCCCCATGAGGCATGCTTCAGGTAGCTCCGAGTACGGATGTGAACAACTAGTCGACAGGCTAGTTAACTAGTCACTTCTCCCCCCCTGCTGCCTCTATCAGGCTGCGTGATCAGCTGGGGACTCCCCTGCTGAATGTGCGGCGCTGCACATCTAAATTTAACATCCCTTGTTCTGAGGGATGGCTGGGAGGGGAAGGGGTGAAACACTTCTGCTGAATTCTTCTTGACTGCTTTATAGTGAATGATCTGCTATAGTGCACTGTAGGCAGGCTTGACTTTAACTAGTCGCTTCCTCCCCTCTCCCCTGCCCGCCCCCACCCACCGCTTCTGAGGAAGAGGCAGCAAGGGGAAGAAAAGAAGGTGCTTAAAACAAAACAAAATAGGAAGGTCTTTGTAAAGATGATGCACAATGTCATTTAATAGAACCAAATGAATTACCTTGACTACAATCCCAGATGGAATGTGTTTCAGAACTACACAGTTGCTTGTCTTATTAGTTGCTTGGCCTCCTGGGCCATCACCTCTTACAAACTGCTCTTCTAAGTCTGTTTCATTTAGTGCAAGAAGATCACAAGAATTCTTCTTTCCTGCAACTGGGAATAAAGGTATAGCCAGTTGGGGGGATAAAAACTTTTGTTGCCTCCAAAGCCATGGCCTCAAAGCCAATGTATTTATTGTAGAATGAAACAAACTTGAAGCATTCATAAAGAAATGGAAACAAAACTTCTTCTTGACAAAAACCTGAAATAGAAAATGTTTTAACATGATCTAGTTTATCTTAATATTGCCCACTATTTTAAAAGATGTTATAAACTAGCTATGTAACATTGTGTCATGTTTTGAATGCTAAATATTTCAAATGAATGTTATGAAGTTGCAACAAACGTGTTTACAGTAGTCAAAGTTATTTTGTCTGTAAGGCATCTATTTAGTTTTTCTGCTTTAACTTAGTGACTATTTAATTTTCAAAATCAAGCTGTTAAGTGGCACTTGAACACAATAACACAAAGAATCCTCACATTCTAAATATGAGTATTAGGATGCAATTACTGCCCTATGTGCACGTGCCTTGTCAAGGTGGGGCAGCTTGTGTGTTATGATCCCAGGAGCTATGCTGGCGGGAGCTTAGTGCTTTTGGTAGGTTCAGCCAAACCGAAAAGGTCAAGGGGGGAGGAGCCAGGCTAAGCATGCACCCGATCCTCCAGGATTGGGAGTTTGGCTCAGGGCTCAAAACCCTGACCTAGAAAAAGCCTTTTATTACGGACACAACAAAAAAGAATTCCTTCTCAACTGTGTGTGACAGCCTTCTGCTGGCCAGTGACAAACAGAAGTGGAGGACCTTAGTAGTAGCTGCCCATATGCCAGTGGGCGTAAAGGGCGATGATGATGCAATTAACTTTGTGAAATAACTTATGGCGCACGTCATTCTTTTGAGTTCACTTTGACTTAGAAATCTAATGTAAATAATCGTTCAAACACCATTCACATAGGGAAATAGTTTTGGATTATGACTGTGGGTGAAATCCTGGCATAACAAATCAATTATCTGAATATTATCCCATATATATCTCAACCTCTATATTAGGGGTGTCCCTAATCTGAGAACACTTGTAGTATGGACCTTGGTAGGGGGAGGAGGAAGTGGCTCTAGGCACTACTGCTTCCGCTTTCCCCCAGTGGGGGAATGGCAGTGCAGAGGTGCTTCTCCTGAGGCTTACCTCCACTGCTCCCATAGCAGTAGGTGGCAGTGCCTGGGAGCACCATGGGCTGTGGAGCTAGGTGTATCCCTGGGAGGGGGTACTAGGTAAGTGCTCCATCCCCATCATCCTCATGTCCAGACCCTTCAGCACCCTTTCTGGCCCAGAAAATTCTTTAATACATCATATCCTTTTTCCCAGGATTTGCTGGATTAAAGACGTTCAAGTGTATTAGAAAAGGAGGTAAAGATCTAATGGAAAGAGAAGGCTATGCACCTGGCTACATAAGTGACTTCTTTGGAAATCCTTACTCAGGAAGAACGCTCATTGAGTCCTGATTCAGTCTTGCTAACAAAGGGAAATGTAATTCACTTCTCTCTCAGCCCTACAGGGATTCATGCTGAAGGGGGTCAATTATAGATACAGGCAATTCCTCCTGTGGAGATTCTAGTGAGTGGAGGCAGTCCTAAATTAGGACAAAGGCATATAACTCTGCTAGTGGAGGAATCAGTACATCCCCCATTGCTCTGACCATCCCTCTCTCCACCCACTGCTAGCAACTTCCTCAACTGCCCTGGCTCTGTAATGAAGTGAGACTGCAGACACTTCATCTCCCCCCCACAGTCTCTCCTCACCAAGCTAGCACAAACAAGAGGATAAATCTGCCCTAAGAACTGCAATGATTCTAGAAGTGGGATATATGAAACCAAAGCTGGAGTAGTTTCTAGTATCTTTAGAACCCCAAAGAGGGCAGGAAATGTTCCACAGGTTCTGCATATTAAGGATCACTTAGGAAAATTAGATTGGCTCCCATAAGAAAGTTGGAGTTACGATATCAAAGGTAACCCAGAGAGTCCGAATGTGGTTTTATTATTTTTTTTTTTTTGCAGACAACAGGAAGCTTAGCTAATGAGTAATATTTCAAATTAGTGAAGCTACAGCAATGAACCTATGCTTGAGAAGATTTTTTTTTTGGCTAGAAAATAATGCATTTTCTATAGCTGTCTGGGAGACGAAGCAACATCTAGAGGCTACAGAAAGTGATAGTTGCTCGTGATTCGCTTTACTGAAATCTGTACAAAATCAATACTCTGTTGTGGTGTCAAGGCCTCATCCAGCTGAGTGGCTTCTATCTTAAGGACACCCCCACACAACTTCACAATCCTCTGGGTGATAACATGTTTTGGCCAATATCTAACAAAAGAATATATATCCTGCCTTTTACCTTTTTTGAGTGAAACTACAATTAATCTTCGCTTCCTGTTCTACTGTGCGGTGCTAAACATCTGCCCTATTCCAGCCTAGAGATGGCAGCATTTCACTGCTGGATTTTAATAACCCTATGAGGGAGGATGGGAATATCAGTTTTATGTAAAACATCTTGGGATAAAAAATAACATTGTCAGTCTTTAAATATCTAAATTCAGACTAAGCAAAAACAAGCTGCTAGGAATTAAAAACGTATCATCAGCATGATCAATGAACAAGAGTAATTTATGTTACCAGATCACTTTGATTCAGACAGGTTTTATTCTCTACTGTGAAACTTCTAAGCATTATCTTAATAGCTCCTATAGTTTTGAGACTTTTATCCTTGGTTCCCATTCTAATGTTTAAAGTAATGGAAGAAACATTTTCTTTTTTGCTGATACTTCATGGTGCAGTGACTTGACTGAATTTATCAGTTTATTAACTTGATCCACTTGATTTTGAATTCTTTTGTGGTCTGCTGTTTGCCAGAAGTTGCTCCTGACATCAAACCTTTGTAATGCCATTAGTTGATTTTTGTGTCTACCCCCAACCATTTCACCCATCACAAGTGTTTTCACATCAAAATAGAGAGTAACAGTTTAAAATAGCAAGTCAAGGAGCAAATAGGTTATGCAACACAATGCTTGACCCCCTAGAGGTCATCCCTCCTGGTCATGGTTTTGATCTTTATAGGCCTGAATTTCCTAATCTATACATAAATGACTTCAGATTTCTAGTGTTATCAAATAACATTGTTCATTTGGGCATTATGTTAAGATGATAAACATGTATTTGTTTTGCTTTAAATATTTACTTATTTGGCTCAAATGAATGATTGCTTGAATAAGTGAATGGTATGTCCTGAATGCAGTTGATAAAAGTTAACATTCAACTAGCAATAAATCGACCCAGGTAGGATGAAGGGAGAAAAACAAATAGTTTCAAGTGGTTTTAATGAGAAAGTCAAACTGGCCACTTGGTGGCACTAAAAACTAAATAATGGGAATGTGATGTTTCATTACAGAAACAATAATAAAGCAACTCTTTATGCTTTCTGCAATAAAAAACCTGCAACCCGTCCCCCCAACTAGATAAGTTCATGGAGTATAGATCCATCAATAACTATTAGCCAGGATGGGCAAAAATGGTGTCCCTAGTCTTATTTACCAGAAGCTGGGAATGGATCACTTGATTCCCTTATTATACTCTTGACAACACAAAAATTACCATCAGCACACTTATTTTAAAATTATGCAAATTGTCAGTAAATAAATAGGGAGGCTCCAGCATAGCAGTGGGGAGTAAAGACTACTGACTGCACAGAGCTCATCCTGCATCCCCCTTCCCTAGACATGAATTTGGTGGTAAAGTTACACCTGACCAGGACTCTCCCAGAAATACTCTAGGGCCCCACCCCTCCATGCCAAGCACACTAGGGGCAGGCAAACTCAGCCCTGCAGCATCCAAGTATGGAAGGGCCTAGTGTAGGAAGATCTAGATGTGGGATGACAGAGTTGTGTGTGGGGCAATCTGGGTGCAGGCAGCTTGAGGGGGTGCAGGTGCAAGAGAAATTTAGATGAACAAAGGTTTATGGGTGAGTTCTAGGTGCAGACACACTGGGACTCAGTAGGATGATTGGGTGTAGAGGGCTCAATGGAGGGACAGGTGCTAACTCGGTGTGGGAATCTTGGGGCAAAGGGCTAGTCAGGGTGATCCAAAGGCAGGTGCGGTGGGACTTGTTGTAGTGGAGGTTTGAGTGCAGGGGGCAGTCTGGGTGCAGGAGTGGGGTCCAGATGCAAACAGGAGGGGCTCAGCAGAGAGGTCTGGGTGCAGAGGATTAGGCTTATCAATGTGTGGGTTCAGGTAGGTTAGTATGGGGGGGGGGCTGCTGGCTGCAAGGGGTGAGGCTTAATGGTGCAATCTGGGTAGAGAAGGTAGGTCTGGATGCAGAGAGGCTGGGCAGATGGAGGGATTGGGGGTGGCGAGAGAAGCAAGCAGCTTCACTGATTCCCTCCTGCCCCAGCTGAGGAGTTATGGGGGCAAGAAAGGGTTGGAGGACATGGCCCTTCCTGCAGCTAAAGAGGTTTCTGGGGTTGGGTCAGCTCTTGCCTCTCCTTGTAGAGGAAGAGGAAGTCCCATTCTTCCCAACTCAGCCAGGGTTTGTAGGTGTACCCAGCCCAGGGTAGGAGCCACTCACTGAGATATCCGTAGCCCTGCTCCCCCAGTGATTTACCCTCTACTAGCTGCTCCAGATGCTTGAAACAATGCATCAACATTGGTGGGGAGCGGCACATGGCTGCTCTTGTGGCTTCCTTTTGCTTCCCTGTCAGAAAGGGATTTTTCTATGGGGAGTATGAATTCTGTGCATGTGCAGTGCAGCAGAATTTCCCCAGATGTACCTGCAGAGCATCTGGCATTGGCCACTGTCAGAAGACAGGATACATGGACATTTTATCTATGTATGGCCATTCTTATGTTCTTAATTCTTCAAAGCATAGCAGCAATGAATTACATGAACAAATGTCCCCTTCCTTCAGCTCAGTTACTACTGTCAGTAACTGGTTGCTTAAGTAACCTCACCTGGAAAAAAAACAGCAAGCAAATGGTCAGGTAGCACTTTATAGGTTAACAAAACATATAGATGGTATCATGAGCTTTTGTGGGCACAGCCCACTTCTTCAGATGACCGGAGTTATGATTAGAGGGTAAGGAAACTCGAAATAAATAGGAGAAGGGGGGGGGGAGATGTTCTGTCACCCACTCCCCTTCCTCTATGCATAAATTATGTATGTGTAATGGGAGTGGGTGACAGAACATCTTTCTCCTCCCTCCCCCTATTTATTTCGAGTTTCCTTACCCTCTAATCATAACTCCAGTCATCTGAAGAAGTGGGCTGTGCCCACAAAAGCTCATGATACCATCTACATGTTTTGTTAACCTATAAAGTGCTACCTTGACCATTTGCTTGCTGGTTTTTTTTCCTGTAACAAACTAACTTGACTACCCACAAATCACCTGAAAAAGATTATCTATCTGAGCTACTCAACACATGTGAATAGAGAATATTTGGGGAGTGCCTTAATGCTTACAGACTAATGTGAATTCACTTGATGTTTTGCTATAAAAACAAATATGTAAATAAGACTGACCTACCAGGATATCACTTTACACACAACATAATTTTAAAAACCAAAACCAAAACACAGCTGTTAAGTTTAATACACGTGAAAGAGAAAATGATGAACCTTAGTCCTAGTCAGTATGGGAGGTGCCTTGCTACCCTTAAAGTAGCTTAATGAGGGGAAATATCTTGGTCTATAAAAACAGTATAATCCCAGGTTTTTTTTAATAGAGTCCTAGAAATGTCAAGTCTATCTGAATTCCTTAGATCAGGAGACTTGTGCAGTTTGAAAGCTCTGCAATTATTATACCCTATTTATAGCATCCAGCAGCACACAGGGGATTTTAATTATTGAAGTCTCCACACACACTTAACACACAGAAGTATCACTCCATTTTGATTAAAGGCTTCTAACTATTCAGAAGTCATGATGTCTCTTGGTTAAATATATCCTGCAACTCAATCTGACAAAACTATCAATTTTAGCAGGAGGCCCTAGCAGTCAGGTTGGGAAGAACAGTCAATATTTTAATATCCTTCCATTTTAATTCTTTAATATTAAACTAATATGCTGAATATTCTCCTATTAGTCTTCCTAACTGCAGCATTCACCACATATCCCCAAAAGCAAGAGTTTCACTTAGTAGAGAGAAAAGTGGTCAACTTGCATATTTGGACATGTGTATTCCTTCTTCTACCATAACCCACTGTATGATCTTAAACAAGTCTTTTATCTATAGGTTATTTCATCCATCTCTAAAACATGTAATACCTGCGTTAAGGTGCCTCATAAGTGAGGAGCATAAGTCAGCATTTTACTGATTTTCAAGTCATCTTATCCATTAAAAAATGCTTACTTCCTGTGTGACTTAAGATGTGTTTTCACTGATGGTTTTCACCTTTTGCTTCATCCTGCAGTGAAGTCACAATCCAGTACTTACAATATCAGTTGTCAAGGAAATCATTGTGGTAGTAAAAGCACTACATCATGATTTTGCTGCAGGATCAGCTAAGAAGAGGTTTGTCAGGGGCCAAGATCTGATTAACACACACTGGAAATTATTCATCATGGTAAGTAATTATGGCACACATATATATATATATATATATATGAGATTCCCCCACCCCCATTACAATATCTTTGGAGCTGGCACCTTATCTTCAGATTGGTCTCTAAAGCAACTGGTATCTTTTTTCACATATACTACGTACTTAATAGTTGGTCTGAAGGGGCAACTAAGAACTGGTCCAAAACATTAGTGTTTATTTTGAAATACAAATATTACTTGCAATAGCTTGCATCTATTTCTTAAGAAAAGTACTATCCACTTAAGTACAGTGACTAGGTTTAGCAGTGAAAATAAGGTAAGTTTCAGGCAATCTCAAACTATGGTTCATGCAAATCTGCTTCCATTTCTTTACACACATGCGGAACGTATGAGAGGCAGTTTGCCATTTTAAGGTAGACACATTTGGTTGACCATGGGTTCCCAAACTGGGGGGCATAAAGAAATTCCAGGGGGTGCACGAGGCAACCCAGCCTCCCCCCATCAAATTTTGCTGCCCTGTTCAGTTCCCTTTTTTTTAAACAAGGTTTGTTGCTATTGGGGGGGAGGCAGGGGCGTGAGTGTTTTTCAAAAATCAAAAAGGGGGGCGTGATGCTAAAAAGTTTGGGAATCACTGTGCTAGAGTGTGGGGAAAACAGGAAAAAAATAGTTGAAAGGCAAAATTAAAGGAATAAATAACACGTTTGAACACCTTGCTGTATGATTGGACACCTGGGTTTCCAGTGTATGGGAGTGAGACAGATGGCCTTCTCTTAGTAGAGATACCAACAGGGCGTCTGCAGCTGGACAAAGCAGGATGCTCAGTGCTGTACATGCACACTGCCCAGCGGGCTGAGCCCCCATA